ACAATGAGAATAGTGAAGAGTTGGGGCTGGATGGAGTGAGGACAGGGTTTGTTGGTCAAAATACCTTTGTCAGAACCATATCTACTTAAATGACCCCAATACAAAGTCAGATCCCAACAGAAAACATAATCATTTTGCCAGCCTAGTATCAGGAGGATAGGGATTCAGGAGGATCTGGCTCTTAATAAAGAGATTCTAGAAGGTAGAGGCAAGAGAATAATCTGTTTTGGGGGTAAGATGAGGATAAAATCGTCATCAGAAGGCAAATCACAGGCCAGGGATTTAAGATGTGGAATTTTATGTCCCTACCTGCATTTGTTAGTGATTCTTCCATCATCTGACCCCATGATCTGTTGATGAACACCTCAGCCCCTTTGCCAGTCATTCTTCTGCCCTTTGGAAGATTTCAGCAACCAAACATTAAAGAAACCGGATTTGCTGAACATTCAGTACTTAGGAAACAACTCCATAGACACAAGGGTTGAAGGTCTCGGAATCTTCCAACACTCTGAATCTCTATAAAAACACTATGTTCCCTGGAGAAATTACAATCATTCCAGGTGTATTTCTAGATCAGTCTTGGTGAGAAGGCAGAAGAAAGATGACAGACATTGAAACAGGGGTCCATAGAGTGCTAATCTTTTTTTTTTTTTTTGGTCTTTTTTTGAGACAGGGTCTCCCCGTAGCCCCAGCTGTCCTAGAACTCACTATGTAGACCAGGCTGGCCTCGAGCTCAGAGATCCACCTGCCTCTGCCTCCCAAGTGCTGGGAGGAAAGGCATGCACCACCACACCTGGCAGAGTGCTGTGGCTGGCTCTTCATGGTTGGGGAAGAATTGCTGGGATCAAAAAAAGTGCCTCCACAGGCTGGAGAGATGGTTCAGTGGTTAAGAGCACCGGATGCTCTTTCAGAGGAGCAGGGTTCAAGTCCTAGTACCTACGAGGTAGCTAACAATCACCTGTAATTCCAGTTTCGGGGACAGATCACTTCTGGCCTCTACTGGCATTGTATGCATGTGGTGCACTTAACATGCAGGCAAAACACTCACACACATAAAATAAAAATAAGTACATTTTTCTTTGGTCTTTTTGAGGCAGGATCTCCCTGTAGCCACAGCTGGCCTGGAACTCACTACGTAGACAGGCTCTGTCTCACAGAGATCCACCTGCCTCTGCCTCCCAAGTTCTGGGATTAAAGGCATGCACCACCACATCTGGCCTAAGGAAATATTTTTAAAAGTGGCCCCAACTTTTGTTTAGCACAATGTCTAAAACATTATTCATCCATTTATTCCTTGAGAGAGTGCATCATCTAGAGTAGTTCAAGAATGCAAACTCTGGAGCCAGGTGCCTGGGATCAACTCCTGAGGGTGTCAACCATTAACCTCCACTTAAAGTAGTTGGAAAACTTACCCTGCCTTTTCCCATGGAAGAGTAAAAAGCTTAATCTATTCATTGAGCCTGGATAATGCCTGGTTCATCATAAACACTCAATACATCTTAGTTATTATTTGGTCAAACATTTTTACTAAGTACTGATTATATGCCAAGTGCTATACGAACTCCTCAACCCCCACCCTCCTCCCTTTAGCCTGAACCTACTTTTCCACTAGGCAGGCTGTTCCTAGGCCAGTCATTAACCAGAAATACAAGTATCATCTTAACTCTCCCTACCCCTTCCTCCTCACCCACTTCTCAAAGGGCAGCTGGGTTCTCTGCCTGTTATATACCTGCCACTCCATCAGCTCCTTCCCTCCTCTTTATGTCTCACCAGCACTGTCTGATTCTACTCTTCTTTACTTTTGTACATCAAATATTACAATAATCTTCCTAAGACTGTGCAGCTCTTGACTAATCCATTTGTGTTGATAAATGTGTATGTTTTCAGTGTGTGCATGTATTCATGTAACTTCAGTGTGTGTGTGTGTGTGTGTGTGTGTGTGTGTGTGTACAGGTGTAAGCATGCTTTTGGAGGCCAGAGGTTAACATTGGTGCCTTCCACAATCACTGTCCATCTTTATTTTTGAGACAAGGTCTCTCACTGAATCTTGAGCTTGCTAATTCAGCTAAACCGGCAGGTCAGCAATCCTCAGAAATCCTCATGTCTCCTCTTCCCCAATGATGGGATTAGTAATTGCTGTTGTATTGTGCCTAACTTTTATATGGGTGCTGAGGATCGAACTCAAGTCTTTTTGTTTGCATGCTAGGCACTTTACTGACTGAGCCCTCTCCCTGGGTACCTATTTTTTTTCATTTTGTTTATTATTTTTATTTTATGTTTATGAGTATATTGCCTGCATATGTGTACCTGTGTTGTGCAATGCCCGAGGAGGTCAGAAGAGGGCACTGAATCTCCTGAACTGGAATTACAGATCGTTGTTAGCCACCGTGTGGGTGTTGGGAATCAATCCTGGGTCCTCTGCAAGAGCAGTCAGTGCTCTTAAGTACTGAGTCATCTCTCCAACCCCTCTGTTTTGTTTTAAATGTGGATCTGATGCTATTTGTCTGTTCAAAGGATCCTACAGAATAAAGCCCTAGCTTATCCATGGCAGCTGGGTCTTTGTGGGAATGTCCTTTTGTCTCTCCAGCCTCATCCTCCTACTGTCCCCTCAGCCCACAGGAAACAGGCTGGAGTTTCCTGACCACACAGTGCTGTTTCACTCCTCTATACCGCAGTTCCTTCTGCTGGGTCACCTACCCCTCCATTAGCCAGACACGACCCCTCCTCTAAGTCAGGTTCATTGTTTAATAATGCTGAATAACACACTCCATCTTTTTTTTCTTTTTCTCTCAGAAAAAGTGACTTTGAGAATGTTGAGGGAGAGATGAAATCTAGAGGTGAAAGCTGAAAGCTGTTTTAAATTGAACAGTAGTTCTTTTACTAGTTGGCTATTTAGAGAACTGGGGAAATTTAGTATATAGTAGTTCTCCTTAATCCCCAGGGATATACCCTAAAATACTCTAGTGGATGCCAGGCGCCTGCTTATACTGTTCCCTATACATATATATCTAAGATATGCTTTAATTTATAAATTATACATAGTAAGAGATTAACAATGAGTAACAGCAGAACCATTATAGCAATAGCGATAATAAATGGTGTGGAGCAAATCATGTCACTGTTATTTATGGAATTTTCTATTTGATATTTCAGAACTCAACTAACTAAAGCCACAGGAGTCAAGACAGTCCTCAGAGAAGGAGAGACTATTGTACAAATGCAGGAGCAGAAAGCTATTTCAATATAGTGGTCTAAAGTTAAAAACTACTAATTAGTCATTGTTTTTTAAAAGGCACAAAACTGAGTGCCTGCAATTGCCCAGAGGTTATAACAGACTGTTTGTTCTTACATAGCTATTAAATACATGGTTAATTCAAACTCTTTAAAAGTCATGCCTCACTAATATATTGTAAAATCACTTATTGAATGAAAAAATGGGCTACCTACAAACACAAGCAGATGACTAGAACTCAAACCTTCCCTGGTCTCCCAGCAATGTTCCAGAACATTCCAGATCCCAAGGCTGCAGCCTCATCCACCATACTGGGGCATCGCCAGTGAGTGCGGATTTCTCACAGCAAGCATCTCATTACACAGGGTTTCTCGGTGAGTCTGCTCGCCCAGGACCCTGTCACAGAGGATCCTATTGTGTCCATGGTTGGGTATCCAAACGTGGGGAAGAGGATGCCACAGGCCAGAACCTTGTAACTGCCCTCTGAGGCTGCACTCAGCTCATCTTCCACAGAGTTATTCTTGTCTCTGAGCACTGAGGTAGGGAAGGAAGGCTCTTTCTAAAAAGCCACTATTCAGCCACAGCAACATAACGTTTTAAGGGCTGGCTCCAACAACCATCCACCTTCTTCAAAAGCTTCTATATGCCTTTTAGCACTAGCTTGGTATCTGAAGTTTTGTTGTTTTTTTTTTAATTTCAGAGTGACTTAACAATCACTATATAAATGGCCAATTTCTACCATACAGTGAAAATAACAGTCAAATGCCTATTGGATAATGAAATTCATTTTCTCTTGGGCTTCCGTGGCAAAGCACATGATTTTAAGGGTTATCTGAAGATCAGCCTAGTGACCCTAGCTGGCATGCTGTCCCATCAGGCGCTCTAGGAAACTGAAAACTTGAATTGCTACTTCCTACACCTTCTTGCCCCAGTTTGACAGAGGCAGCCCTTCAAATCTCTAGTCAAATTCTAAGTTCAGGGAACCAAATGTACTCTTCAAAAGTTCATTAACAAAAGTCCTTCAATTAGAAGAACAGCCCTGTGACTCATTTGCAGATACCCGTGTAGAAATAACAACTCCTCCCTCTGCTGAGAAATGGCTTGAACAAGTGTGAGAGCGACAGGAAGTAATGCAGGTCTCAGCTGGGGTTCCAGGCAGAAACCCAGAGAGCTCTGTGGGACTGAGAGGTTCTCTAAGCATCGCCACCAGGCCTCTCTCCTTCTAAAACAAACAAACAAACAAAACCCCAGAGTGGGAACTGTTTCAAGGCACTAGCCTTGCCCTGGTAGTCTCTGGTTCCTGAGTCATACTGCCAAGTTCAAGTCACGCAGTGACCATTCCGATGTGTTTGAGAAAGTGCGCCCTAATCAGAAGAGGCGACCTAAGTGAATAATGCCTCTATTTAAAAAAACAAAAACTTTCGGCTTAAAACAGAAGTAGTCTCGAGCAGATAATTTATATAAAGTTCGTCTGCCAGTAAATATGTCTGAAATACTTTCTATGAAACAGTACATTCTCAAACCCTTGTCCTCTCAAACTAAATTTAAAAGGCATTCCGCTCTAGGAGAGAACTCCAAAGCCCTGTCCCAGACTTGAGGACCTCAGCCATACCCAGAATCCCACCTGCTGCGCACACCATCCCAGCTCGGAGCCAGCGTGGTCCCCACCCCTGCCAGCCCCACGCCGGCATCCGCCGCTGCGCGCACAATCCAGCGCACATCCCCGATGCTGACAGTGTTAGAGCTAAGGAGACCCAAGAGAACAAACCTGGACCCGGTGGACCGCTGATTCCAGCGGCCGGGCACCCGGATGTGCGAGGAAACGCGGGGCGCGTCTCCGGGCGGCTCTGCTCCCCTCGCCCCCACGCCTCCCACGGCCGGGGCTGGGCTCCTCGGCAGCCGCCCGAGCTCCGCGCCACCCGAGCCGCATCTGGGCGCCGCCAGTCCCGCCCCCGCCGCCCGGGAGGCCGCCACAGCTGGGGACCAGGCCCCGCCCCGGGACGCTTCTTCCCACCCCGAACCGAGTCACTAAGCTCCCGGCTGCCGAGAACCGGGGCACCATCCCGCCTTCCCAGCCCGTGCACCCTCCAGGTGCTGCAGTGGGCGGCGAAGAACACCCGGCGACTTCCTCCCTTCTTCCCTCGCCCCCCCCCCCAGGATGGGGAGATGGGCGGGATACGACGTGCGGGACTTTCCTGGGGAAGCCCCGCCGCACCGATGACATTTGCAGTCCGGTGCCTTTCCCAGGCGAGGACGCTGGAAACACTTTTCTGCTGCAAACCTGAGTTCCGCGTTCCACTCACCCGTTCCTAGTGGGCCTCAACACTGAAGGGTTCGCTCCTTGAGGTCAGTGGGGCAGACACCTTAAAATGTACATCCAGGACCTCCTCAGCGCCTGGCACCTTAGTGGAGACACAGGAACAGAGAAAGTGCACTTGGGGAGGAGGTGGTAACCAGCTTGACAAAGCTAAGGCTTACAAGTAAGGAAGTGCTCAAAAAAGAAAAAGAAAACCAATTCGTGCATTGACCCTTAAGGAGGTCCAGGTGCCCAACGCTGGAGAAATTTGAGTAACAAAGCCTCGGATGATAACCAGATGGGAATAATGATTGCTAGATTAAATACACAAACGATGGGGTTGGAGAGAGAAATCTCCCAGGCAGAGAACCATAAAATCCCTGGACCTGGTGACCCATGCTAGATCTGGTGAACCTGGTGAGGTGGAGATGTAAGGATCTTTGGAAGCCCCTGGCCAGCTGCACTAAGCTCATGGGTGAGCTTCAGACCAATGAGAGAGACCCTGTCTCAAAGGAGGAAAGATGGTGCTCCTAGGATGATCCCTGAGGCTGCTCTCTGGCCCCCACAGCAGCATCTACTTGCGTCCCCACCACACACACAAACAGATTGAAAAAAAAACAAAAAACCTCTGACCAATATTTCCCACAATTGCTAAGGTTGTAAGAACAAGGAAAAATTTTAAACTGCCACAGTCTAGGCCAAAAAAAGGAGAACAGAAAACGAAGAGTAATGAGATACCTTCGGTGGAACCTCCATGGCGGGGGG